CACAGGATTAAATCTGTTATGGTAGCAGATATGTGTCCAGTGGGGCTTTTGCAGTTTCTTTCCCTCTCAGCACCAGAAATCTGCTGTGGAGGGCTTCCCAGGTATCTGAGGCATTTTAGGAGGGTGAGCAGGTTGTATGTGGAGGAAGGTGAGTTAGTTTCCCTTCCAGGTTCTTTCTGCAGAGCTACATCATTGGATTGAACCCATAGATTTTATGTCCTTTAGTGTGCTAATTATATAATGAATTGAAAAAGGGATGGGAAAACAAATCTGTAATAAATTATAAATTTTTGTATGTAATGTTAAAGTTTGTGAAGCCAACCACACAGGTGCTTTCACTTGTTGAGCACTGCATAAGAAGCTTTTAATAAATTCTTTTTTGGCTGTCCCATTGGCTGCATACTTTTTTACACTTCAGTTTGGTCAAAGGCTTGCTGTCAGGAGGATTTAATGGCCCTGATTTGGATATGTGAGATTTCTAGTCACTGAAATGTTCAAGGCAGATGTTCAACCCCTCCTCTTTTCAGTTTACTGAGAACATTGGCATGCTATCTTGTTACACCAGGCTTGCTTTTCATTTGGAATCTAAAGATAGCAGGGATCAAAATCCACTGAGTTTTTGCCCAGTGATGATACAAGCATTTCAAACATGATTTTTTTTTTTGGCTTGTGGCTTTATTCTAAATACCCAACTGCTGTCATACTCCAGCTTCTTTCAAATGACATCATCTCTGAAAACACACTAGTTACAGTTTATCATGGTTATTTTGACTGTTGTGCCATTGAATAACATAAAGCTGCATCAGTGTCTGCAAGTAGCTTGGGTTGTTAGGAGATAGCATTTGTCTTAACTATTCACAGTGTGGTGAAACTTTTACTCCGGTTTAAGATGATCCAGTAAAGGAAATAGCTCTTCATGGGAGAGTCCTGGAGAGCAAATTCTGTTCAGGACTCTTCAAGGGAAATCGCAAAGGCAAAACGGATGAAGTTAAGAGAAATAGAATTTTTCTTTTCTGCCCATCTGTCTTCCTGTACACTTCCTTCATTTCATTTCTTATATGACTGTACCATCCAATAGCCACAATAAAATCCCAAGAACCATTAAGTATCTTATAGCATGCTGTCCAGTGTGCTTCTTAAATTAAGAAAATAATCAAAATTCCGGAAAACCGTTGACATATAAATTCAGCTTTCCCCAATCTGGTGTTTTCCATATATCTTTCACTACAACTCTTGACATCCTCCAGATCTGTAGCATAACACAAAAGGGTAGTCTGCTGTGGGCAAAGTTGCACATTCTAATTTAGCAAATAACTGCATGATAGGCTGACAACCATTCATCAGTTTTACCAGAGTTTAATTCTGTACCACTTAGATTGTTGGAGCACCTTCATTTATTTACTAGCACTTCTTATTAGATCAGTTTCACACAGTCATGTGTATTTCAGTGACTTAAATATAGTCTTTCACATACTTGCTGAGGATAATTACTTTAACTGCAACTTTGAAAGTGCCATGTTTGGCTAATAATTTTATTTGTAATGGACATTCATTTATTGCTCTTTTCATAACAAGTTTATGAAAGGAGTTTTCCCCTGTGGAAAAATTTAAGCACCTGAAATTTTTTTGCCCCACATCACTGCAGGCAAGAGAATTTTCCAATCACCTTCTACCTGATAATATCTAACTGGAGGAACCATTTAAAACCTGTGTAATCTCTTCATGCAGAGTATATACTTTACCAGTTAGCTTTGGTACCTTTTTTTCCTAATTATTTCTGGAAAAGAACAGTGTTTTATGGTTTCTTTCTCTTCCTGCATGATGTGCACTATCTAGCAGTATTTATAGACTGCAGTAATGACTGAAGGATTTACAGGCTGCTGTAATGATTGAAGATTAATCATGGTTCTTGTGTTACCATGTAAGCAAGAACAGGAAAAATTATAGATGCTGGGTCATGGCTAATTTTAGTTTCATTGATTTTAATTGAGTCTACTCTAAATGTGTATCCAACCCATTGTTCCTTCTATTGCAGCTAATGGTTCTGATTCAGAGAACTTGTAGAGCAGCAGAAGCTTACACAATTTCTGACTTACACCATGGGATAAACATTGCCTTGTTGTGATTTGGCTACATTGTCGTTAGATAATGAGATACAAGGAACATGATTTTTGCACATGTGATATAGCAGATCTGTGTGCGGGAAGAAGTTTCCATACAGTAATCATGCTCACTAGGTTAGGGAATCTATTCCTTTTACTTGGGTTCAATAAAGTAATTACCAGGCATGTTCTTTTGTGAGAATTATGCAGCTTTCACTTTTGGACTAGAAAAGGGAGGGTGGAACATGCATAAGTAGATGCTAAGTGACCTATTAATACTTTAGGGACTGAAAACTTGCTTAATCCAGTAAGAAGAAAAAGAGACTGGATTTGCATGAGATGGCAGCCCATCCTGGGTAATTGACATTTTTGGGGACAGGAAAAGTATTTTTGTATATTTGTGTCCAAAAAATCCTCAAATTTATCAGATTGATTAAAAAAGAGAGAATGTTTCCTTTTTGAAATAAGTGCTTGTAAAAGGGGGTTAGGATGTAGTTCTCCCCTGTCTGAAATATATGCAAGCTTGAGGAAGTGTGGAAAAAGTAAAGGGCATTAACAACTCTTAGGGCAATACTTAAAATCTAGAGAGTAATATTGCGGGGGGGGGGGGGTTGAAAGCTCACCAATTGACAGTGGTCAAGTGTGTGCAAAGTAAGATACATGCAGCTTTGCCTGGTTATTCCCATGGATATTATCTAATGTATTATTCCAGGAGTTTGATTCACCCAAGGCTACCTCAGTTTAGATTCAAGGACAATCAGAAAGAGGCAAATCCATTTGTGTGAAGGATAATATACAATTCATTAAATGTAAAGTTGGAATACAGATGCAGATTATAAACGAGCAGCCAAAGAGTTGCTTACACATGTCCCTCAGTCTTAGAGCTCCTTAATATAACAGACTTTGCTCCAGTGCCTATGCTTGGACAGTTGTGCACTCTTCAAGGCACAAGCCAAAGCATAAGCTAAAAAACTACAGCCTTTAAGCATTTCCTCTTTCCACCTGTTTCTGAGCCTGGCAGCCATAAGCTATCCCCTCCCCCTGCTTCCCAGGAGAAAAAGTGCCAGAGCTGCTTCAATAAAACAGTTTCTTTCTGTGTGCCAAAAGCAGCCCTTACCCAAATAATATTATTGGGGGGTGGGGGGGAAGCCACAAAGCAGTTACGTTTGGTGCTCTAACTAGTACATGCATGGCACCCAGAAACTCAATTCTGGATGCTGTGGGGAGTTCAGCTATACTAGCTATTGAACAGAAATCCTCTCCTTACCATTCTTCTGGTATAACCCGTCTAATACACCTACTCCAGTTTTATAGCAGGCATCTACCAGGACAATTGACTAGATAAGACACCACAGTTTATAAAAAGCCTGATATGTTTTGGGTGCCTTGTGGGTTTTCTGTGAGCCAACCACACTGCATAGTTTACAGGGTGGGTTATTGGGTCATACAGACTCATCCAGAGAAGGAAAGAGAAAAGATGGATCTCAAACCTACTTGGATGTCATGCTGTCTAACTTTATAATCTTTCTATACAGATTTAGCAATCCAGAAAGGTAGGATAATTGTAAAACAAACAAATCCTACCTGTATGTTGAGGTTGCTCAGTGATGTTATCTACATTCTCAAAGAGTCTGTTCAGTATTACCAGGATTCAGTGTTGTTTTTGAAAACTGATTCTGCAGCTAAACTTTGAGCCCTGATAAGTTGTTTATGCTAATAATTTAATACATAGTCCAAAGTAGTGAGAAGATATCTGTGTATCTGTAGCATTCAAAATCTGTGTGATTACCAAGAACAAGGAACTGAGGGTGTTCTCAAGCACCAGCAACAACTTAATTTGATATGCTTTCTGAAAATATTATTTAGAAGACCTCTCTAAATAACTAGCTTTTTACTATCAAGATTGAGTTTATAGGTGCAGTAGCACAATTCTGTCTACTCACTCCAAACATGAAACTTTGCCCTCACACTGAACACAATTAATTTAGGGATGAGTTGTGGTTAATTAATGGGAAGAAAACACTATGAACATAATTTACAGTACTTTTTGCCTTAAATAACTGGAGGTGGGAATGCGGGGGAAATCTGCAGCTCTGGAAACTATGTCTCTTTCTAAAAAAATATCCATAACATCAAGCATGATGTTGAATTTGTTTCAGCAATTATAAGTTTCCTCTTGATGAGTTTTTGTGTACACATGAACATTTGACTATCAAAAGACATTAGATTATCATTTAAGAACAGAGTTAAGGCTATCTTGTGTTTGCTCAAGGAAATGGGAAATTAAGACTGATACCCTAACACATGTATCCCATGCTCAGTACTGATCGTGTGTAATGTTACAAATTGTGTATGCCTACAGCTTACCTTCCTTGTCGTGGTTTCTGTGCATCACACAGGTGGACTTTGCTGCACAGTACCTTCCATGCACTCATACCTTTCCTGGGTATTCCAGGCCCAAATCCAAATAGGAAGGATGGACTGATGCCCCATGCTTTTCTGGTCTTGTATTGCTTACGAAGCATATCAGCCTTGCAAAACTACTGTAGAATTTGGCCTATGAGTTGGCCCCTGACTATTTGTTACTTGTTAGCAACTTGTGCCCCTGACATCATTGGGTCCCTGGCTATAGTGCTAGCTGGAGCTTGTCTAATCATTGCTTCTGCCAGGGAGCCAGGTTTGCCTGTCTGAGCAAAGTGCACTTGACTAACAATTGCAGGACCTGACTGAGCTCCATGCTTGGGACTCAGCCGGCTCCTGGAAGTATTGGCTGAGTGCACCACTGACTTCATTATTTTCTCACCCTCCCCATCTGGATCTGTTTGTCTCAGTATCCTCATATCATGGGAAATGCTCTTGCCTATTGAGAACTTTTAAGCACTCTTTTTTCCTTTTCAGAAATTCATGCCACAGGATTCAACTATCAGAATGAGGATGAAAAAGTGACACTTTCTTTTCCCAGCACACTTCAAAAAGGTAACAGGTCTTCAATAAATTCTGGTTGACCAATAATATATGCATTCCATTTCCTGGTGAAGGATGTTTCCCCTGCCGTTTACTCATATTGGAATGTGCTTTGAAAGCTCACCATAATCTTGCATTTCACTCTGGGGTTTTTCAAATATAACAGGTATCTGGCAATCAATTCTGAGTTAGTTAATCCATGATTTCTGGCACTGTATGCTGCGTATGAGCTGCCTCCCATTTGCAACAACAGCCTATGAAATCTTCATTCATTCATTGTTCGAATGGCATCCAAACCCAGACACTTTGGGTTATTTGGGGGTTAACAACCCTAAGTTAACCTAAGAACAAATTATAGTAACTTTGGGTTATTGTGCTAACAACCTGCAAATGAGGCATTTGTAGGCTCCTGTAAACACACTTTTAAAGCATGTTTCAGGAAATAATATCAACTTGGCATTTACTTATGTCTTTATTCACATGTATGCCTGCATGTGCCATCTGAGGATAGCATGTTATGGAACTGATGAAGTGTTTCCGGGTCACAAAATCTGTGTTGTATTGAACTTTGGTTTAAAAGTGCCATCAAGCTTTCTTCTGCTTACTGCTACAGGGTAACACTGCTATCTCAGTTGGAAAGCTTCAAAAGTTAACTCTTTGTTCTAAAATGTTACATTGCTTAGTCTGAGCGAGGAATCCTTTCACAGGGAGATGAAGAAGCATTCAATACAGCCTACATGATTGTCTTCTCACTTTTTTCTTTGTATGTAGCCTGTCAGTGCAGGCCAGCAATTCTAAATGATAAAAATGAGTTTTATCTGTCAAAATTATTTGCTTAGTTGGGGCTGTGATTGAAAGTACTTGCAGATTAAGAAGTCAGTCTTGCACTCACTACCCACCCCTCTTTATTTTTAGTTTAAAATTCTTAAAATACTTTAAAAGATTGAATATTTTTAGTTTAAAATGTTAGTTCTGACTAAATATAGTTAATTGAACAAGCATTCTTATATAGAATGATCTGTGCAGTTTCTCTACCTTCACAGCTTTTGAATTTTGAGTTAAATATTCAAATAACAGTTTAACTCTGGAGACTACCTAAACCATACTGTTGTGACCTTTTTTGCAAAGATAATGGAAAGGATGATTATTGGAGCAGAGAAGGCCACTCACAGAGAGTGTCTTGCTCACCTGATGCTTTTCTTGCTTCGAGTCTTGCTGAACTGATGCTTTTCTCATTTTATTTTTAACTGAGAACTTTTGAAGAAAAGGGCTGCTAAGGACATTAGTTGAATCCTTAGTGGGGAAAAGCCAAAAATTAATAATGCTTACCCACAGAAGATTCTTTATGATTTGGTCAGAAGTGCCATAGGTATATCCCATCTTTATATCCCATGGTAGGAATGTCATGAGTGGACCCACCTAGAGACAGGGGTCAGACTAGATGGCCCAGGAGGCCCTTTCTGACCCTCTCTGTTTCTCCATTTTACCTGTACAATAATCTTGTGCAGTAGGCTATGCTGAGGGTCTGTGACAGGCCTAGAACTGCCCAGGGAGCCTCATGACTGAGTGGGGACTAGAACTTGGATCACCAAGTCCAGTGTTCTAACTACCACAGCACAGTAGTTAATGATCCATTGAGTAATGTTTCCTGAAGTGAAGTGTCAAATTTATGCTTTTGCCAAATAGGAATAGACAACCCATAGTGAAACAAGTTGAAAACAAAAGGATGATTTCACTTTAAGAATTGCACCCATCTGAAAGCACTTTTCTTTTTAATAAAAAGGGTTCCTTTTAATAGATGATGCAAATCTTGTAGTTTAGAAGGTCTTCACCAGCAAAACCAAATCATTTGAAGCTGGTAACATCCTAGGCTTTTCAAGTTCTAACTATGCAGCTCAGGAGCAATGAAGTTTTTACATGCCCTGTCTATGAAGGGATGGTTGGCTGCCTAAAAGCATTGTGGAACCTAGCGGTAAGTTCTGACAAAAGGTTAGTGTCTTGCAGAGTTCGTTGTGTGGTCAAATGCTATTCTAACTGACAACAAGGAAGTTAGATTCTAGATATTGAGATCCATATCTGAGTTAGGATTTAGGAGGGAAAACTTGGTGATGGGGAAGGAGGAATCACTTCATTCTAAGATACAACAGACAAAGATGGGCCTGTCTCTGGCATTCTCAGGGTCTGTTTTGCCCTATTCTCCATTATCTTCAGCTATTGAATCAAATGTCACACACCTCTAAGGTCTGCTGCAAGGGCTTCTGTTCAATGAAAAGCACAAAAGAAACTAGAAAAGTAAAAATCTGCTTAAACTTCTATATGGATGTCATCTCTGTACCTCTGTACAAAGATATCCAATCTTTTTTAGTTTTTACAAACTACAAAAGTACTCAGTTAAAACAGGAGGTCAGGAGATAACCTGTTCTTTGTTCTCATAATGGTTTCTATGATTTCATGGATTTTTATGCAATGATGCTGCATTCTGCTATTTATGAAATAAATAAACCATGGTTTCTTGCTAGTTACTTTGGCATATTGATTTGGAATGTGGATGAACATATGACATTTCTGTGTGAAGTTTGAGATGTTCATCTTTCTAGACCAGTACTTTCAACTGTGGCAGTACCTCTCTAAGATCTGAAGCAGACTTCCTTTTTAAACTCTGCTACCTGAGATATTTTTTTTAAAGCTAGGAATGCCAGAGATTGAATTCTAGAACATTTTCATATAGCTCCTGTGTTATACCAACCAACTGTGGGCTGTCCCCACTGGATAAGATTGGGGAGCTTGCAATTCTCATTATTCATTCATTCATTCTCATTCATTCATTCATTCATTTATGGATTTATATCCTGCCTTTTTCCTACAAAGGACTCAAGGCAGCTTACATCATTCTCCTCCTCCATCTTATCCCCACAACAACAATCCTGTGAGGTAGGTTGGGCTGAGAGTCTGTGATTGGCCCAAAGTCACCCAGTTGGCTCCATGGCTGAGCGGGGACTAGAACTCAGATCGTCTGAGTCCCAGTCCCACGCTCTTAACCACTACGCCACACTGGCTAATTGCAAGGACTTTGCCTTTTAGAACCTTTTCTTGACTGTAAATACACTGTCCAACTCTTACAAATGCATTGTACTTTCAATGCCAGAGTAAAGGACAGACATAAAAATCGTATATAAAAAACACAGAGCCAAATAGAGAAGAGAGAAGAGCAAAGATTGGGTTTCATCTTTTGAAAACATTTGCTCAGAGTGGTGGCAGTGTTGAGAAACTAAAAGCAAATAAATCATAACTTAAAGCAAAGGATAAATAGTGGCATTTTTAGTTACACAAATACAAACACAGCTGAAGTTAACAATTCAAAAATTATATCCTTGTTGAAGAGGTCTTGCTTATTTGTAAGACTATTTTACAGTACTAGGCAGCTGTTAGAAACTACATTCCTGTCAGGTTCCCTGATTCAATATGTTACTTGTTCTTTGTGATCTCTGTACACCACATATATGGGTTCTGCGTCTGCACAGGGCCTGTTGTCAGGAAGATTTTCGTAGCTAAACTTGTTCAAGAAGGGCGTAGGCAGCTAGTTATGGGAGGACAATATGCAATGCAAACATCCAAATGTAGCCTCTTTAGATTCAGATAAACTGCTCAAGTGCACAGTCCTGTGTTCTCTCCCAGTTGAATGAAGTTTGTCTAATTGATGGTGTAATTAGACACTTTATCTAGTTCATAACTGGTGATTTGGGGGAGTTGATAAGGTGGAATAAGTTGCTCCTGTTCAGTTTTGTTTGTGGTTAGATTATTCTGGAATAAAGTTTCACTTTAATAGTGAGTTCCATATTAGAAATGGAGTGTTGAAATTAATCCTGTGTTCGTTACTCACCACTCTGTGACACAATGACTTTAACCTGCCCAGGCCTGCAGAGTTTAGCAGTAGCAAAACATCATGGAAAGAGTTGCTCATTTAGAGTTGGAAGCAGAGAAGCTGCTTCTGTTAGACATAGATACTCAGAATTACATTTGGTAAATCATGATTAGTGGTGCTTCACACATTTAATGAACTGCTTATCAAGTTAAACTATTACTAGTTTCTGTGCTGAAATGTGATATTTTGATTTGAAAATCACAGTTGCAAAAAACAAAAGAAAAATTTAGTATAGTGTTAAATTGTTGGTCTATGAGTTAGGAAGTTTGTGTTCTGGTCCCCACTCAGCCATGAAACTCACTGGGCAACTTCAGGCAAGACACTTGATTCTCAGCTTAACTTAATTCATAAGGTTGTTGTGAGGAGAACTATGAAAGCTGCCTTAGGTTCCTTGCAAGAGGGAAAAGTCAAGATATAAATAGAACAGATAGTGTTCTTAATTTTTAAAAGATTGCAAGCTGATACAAAAGTTTGCTCTACTGGGGAACATATAAAGGTGGTATATTGGGGAACATACTAAGGTATGGTATTCCTGCACATTTAAGAAAACTGGTGGAATTTTTGCCCATGAGTTTTCTTCATTACCTAAGAGTAGTCATACTTGTCAGTAATAGCTTCCAAACCATAAGTTTTAAAAACTGTATCAGTACCTGAGAAAATCCTACACACTGTTATCAGTTTTTAGATGCCAATATAACCAAACTCTTCTTGAGGTGTGGAGTGGTCCCCGCTGTGCCTCTGCTTCTAGCTTGAAGTTTATCTTTTATCAAATCATTTCCTTTGACCTGAAGCTTATCTTCAAGTGACTTCAGCTTTTCCTCTGCTGTATTCTAGCATGCTGCTTTTACCTAGCACAGCTGTTGCCTCCTCATTGTTTCCCTCAGATGTATTTCAGCAGAATCATTCTTGAATCACCCAGGTGTCTCATCTGGTTTTCTACTGCCATGTGGCTTCCATTCACATGGCTGCTATTTTGTTCGTACTACCACCATGCCCAATCTCAATTTTGCCTAACTAATAGGGTTTGGAAGGACTGGAAGTGCATGTTCTGGTTCTTCTGTGCTACTAAGTAATGGTAGTGGTAAGCTTGTGAAGTCCAGCCCTCTCCAGGTAAAGCATCCTTCTTGTCTCAGCACCCTCATATTAATTCATGTATCTCTGATCTGCTGTAAGAGTGAGAATAATTGGAATGTGCTTAAAAGGCACTGCATTCTAAAGCTTCTGGATGGGGAGCAAGTTCTTCCAAGAGAGGCAAGAATAGTTCACGTATTTCAAAGCTCACTTAAATATTCTTGATTTAACATGTTCATATAGCAAAAGATCAAAATGCTCTCTCTTTTTAACCACAGGGATGGGAACACTGAAAATAGATTTTGTTGGAGAACTGAACGATAAAATGAAAGGCTTCTATCGAAGTAAATATACCACCCCTTCTGGAGACACTCGCTTTGCTGCTGTTACTCAGTTTGAGGTATGGCCTTCTTTGATTTGTGGTCCACCTATTCTATTGTTTTTATTCAAAGTGGCGCCCTTTCTGTGTGTACTTTAGAGTCTAGCAAGGACTGCGTATTTTCTTGGTTGTATCTACATTTACTGGTGCATCTCTAGAAATCCACCTGTTTTCACTTTTTCTTGTCAAAGGAAAAGAAGATATTTAATAAAAATATTGCTTGTGGTCTAGTAGGAGATAGTTCTTCTAGTACTGAAGTGTATATTGTATTCACTGAAAGTCCTTATTGTACATGGTTATGTAAAATTATATATATGAATTGTTACATCCCTTTGCTTTTACTTTTTTTTTTTTTAATAAAAGCTAGGAAGAGGGAAGCTGTGGTCTAAGAGTGAGCATTTAGGTCTGAATGCCTCAAAGTCCCCTGTTTTGCTTTGATGATATTTATTGAAGTGAATGCACACTCCTTGCAAAGTGGAGCCATCAGACTTCATATTGGAAAATAGAACTGTAGCACAGTAAATTTGTATGTCTCTCCTCTAGCCTCTTTGAACCTTATGCCAGTCGAATGCCTGATTTCTGAACACTTGTATACCTTTTCTCTTTGGCTTAGATTTTTGTTTTCATTTGCTTTTCTGTTTTCCACTATGGTCTGCAGAGCAGTTTTTTCTTTTTTGTATGATCAAAAGGCTACATTCAATTTTTGATATGTAGCTCTATGAATTTATAGGCAGTCCTTGAGTTATGAACATCTGAGTTACAAAGAGCCCATACTTGCATCACTGTAGAGAGGGAAGCAGTGAAAGGGGAGAGAGGGGAGGCTTTTAAAGCATGCCTTCCTGCCCCTCCCATCCAAAGAGGGAAATTTCTCTGGTATTTCCTTGCTGTAAAGGGGAGGCACTGTGTGTGTGTTGGGGAGGGGGTTGTTCATGGTTTTTCCACTTTCATGGGGGTCCTGCACTTCTAACCCCCTCAAGATTTGGAGGGCCAACTGTACATGGTCTGACTTGCAGACAAATTTGACTTACAAGATGAATTTTCTCAGGAGTGGAACTCGTTTGTAACCCAGGGACTGCATGTACTATGTTTTTTGCATGGTATTATAAGAGTGCCTCAAATACTTGGTTAGTTTATGCTCTTATTTCTTGTAGGCTACTGATGCTCGCAGGGCCTTTCCTTGCTGGGATGAGCCAGCCATCAAGGCAACTTTTGATATCTCACTAGTGGTTCCTAAAGACAGGGTAGCTTTGTCAAATATGGTAAGTCTTTTAAAGGACTGATAAGTAAAATGTAAATTGATCATATGACTGTCCCATGTTATCAAAACATTCTACATGAACCTGCATGAACAGTAATGGCTTTACAAACTGAAGGACAGGCTGTTGTGAAGAGAAAGCAAAGAAATATGTATCATAAAATAAGGTTGTATGGAATGGGGATACTGCACATTGAAAGAGATTGTACAGATCGGATGGATCGAGTTGGTGAACATAGTTTCACACATTTATTTGGTATTGCAAATAACCTAGGAAATATCAGCTCTTGCCATTTTGAGAAAGCAGACCTAATAAGTCTTTTCCAAACTTCTTTCCTTGGAAAAGAATATCACTGACCGGAGGCCCTATCCTGATGATGAAAACCTGGTGGAAGTTAAATTTACCCGTACCCCTGTGATGTCGACGTATCTTGTTGCTTTCGTGGTTGGAGAATATGATTTTGTTGAGACCAGGTCTGCTGATGGTGTGCTAGTTCGTGTTTACACTCCCGTTGGAAAAGCAGAACAAGGAAAGTTTGCATTAGAGGTAAAGTATGCTTATATCTTTCTATCCACAGTTGCAGCTCAATTGTTGGTGCAGGAAATACCTTAACTTCATTTTGTTTATAGAGCAAGTGTGTTGTGTTAAAATGGAGAGGATTAACAGATCTTAGATGCCACTGTCTAGCGAAAAGCATATAGTTTGCACACAGGGAGGTCCTAGGTTCAAGTTCTTGGCATTTCCCAATAGGACTGGAGAAAAACCTGCTGGAGACCGGAGTTGTAGACTAGGGGAAAGCAGCTTTGGAAAGTGTGAGGGCCAGTTTTGCTGAGATCTCACTAGGAGCTGCACGTATTACTACCAAAATCATTGCCTCATAAATTAATGTATACTTTACTTTTAAAACAAGGTATGTATTGAACACCCATCTTGGTTTTTTTTTGACAAATTATGTTTACAAAAGATGTGGAAGAGAGCAAGCAAGCTTCCATTAAACAAGACACATGCTCACCATGTTTTATAGAGGAAATGCAACTGCATCACTGAAATTTGGTGCATAGCAATTGTGGAGCAGCGGGGGGGGGGGGAGTGTGAATACAGCAAGCCATGAGTGTCCACTTGTGATAGAGACCTGAGATAAATGGCCTAGTACTCTGCTTTGATGTATGTGGCTTCCTTTTTTAAAAAAATGCAATGATAGTAAGGTAGCTTCCTGTGTTTTTCATTCTGGGCAGGGGACATTATGTTTCTTAGGCAGTGGCTCAAAGCCTCATTTCAATAGGTCTACATTAAGTAGAACTTACGTAGAATTTATCCATGAATGGCCAATTCCATAATAAAGTTGGGGTCACTTCCCCCTTATGGGTAAGAACACATACTTCACCGTTCACCCAAAATTTTGTAACGTCTCCAGGTGCCAGGAAAAGAATGGCTGTGGAACTGTGTCTCTTAGACATCCACCAATTGACCAACCCTGCTCTGATGCATAAAGATTTCAGCCAGGTGCCTGAGATTTCTCTGGGTGTATTCTGCATATATTCAACAGAAAATGTATTTTATAGGTCCATCCACCTGTGTGGATAAAGCTAAATCTACACAGTTTTTGTAACTGGCCTGCTGACATATACTACTATGCAGGTGAGTTAAGGGGATGCTTTAACATCTTCTGCTGCAGTCAGAACAAGACCTAAAGCACATATGTAATGGCAAATTCTGGCAGCAAATTGTGGGTTAATCAACGTACACATTTCCCAAGTAGCACATGAGCTATTTTCTGTTTGCTTTAAAAGTTGTTGAATGCCACATCCAAACGGGGGTATTAGAGGTTGTGAATTAAACAATCCAAGCTTAACCCATGGCGTATTCCTTGTCTTGAAGTTTGTTAGAAGTGGCAAGTCAGCATTATTTCATTAATGTAGCATGTTCACTAATATTTTTTCTCTTATTTTCATAGGTTGCTGCTAAAACTCTGCCTTTTTATAAGGACTACTTCAATGTTCCTTACCCTCTTCCTAAAATTGATCTCATAGCTATTGCAGACTTTGCAGCTGGTAAAGTACTTTATCTGAGTTTTGTTGTATTATTACATGTTTTAGGAAATTGTTTGTGTATCAATATCAATAAACCTTTGTATTTATTTTAAGGTGCCATGGAGAACTGGGGCCTTGTTACTTATAGGTATGCTGTTAAAATACTGTCTGTCCTCCCTTCCTTGTCCTTTTTGCTAACTTTTCCAAGTTTTATCAGATGAAGTGTAGGGAGCTGTAACAACGTGGGGTTTATCCTTAGTTCAGTAATTTCTATTTTTTCCCATTTTGAGTAACTTGAGCTTGCCTCAAAGATATATTCTCGGAAACCTTTTAGAACAATGTGAAGGCAATTACGTAAAATAACAATAAAATTGCAGTGCCCTTTTCCTTAGGATGCTTTGTTACCTTCCATCTGTCTGTGGCCTGATGTTGATAAGCTATGCATAACATCGTAGCGCATAGGGTTTGTATCAGGCCCCCAACCTGCTTCTCATGCATAGCCACAAGAAGATCAGAAAATTGCATTAATGTTAATTATGGTTTATTGAAGTAAACTGATCTCAAACCATGGTTAGTGATCCTGGTCTTTTTCAAGAAAACATGGTTAACACAATAATTGAGAAAATAACTAGTTGAAAGTGGAAATTAAAGGTTCTGGTCTCCTTGTGGCCTTATTAGAGGAGGACGAAGAATAGTGGGAGGTGCACAAGCCCAAGGCTTGAGCAAATAACTTTAAATCAGTGGTCTGTAAACATTTGAGTCAGAAGACACATTTGGAATTTTAATAGTTTATTCTGAGTATGCTCAAAAATGGTTGCTATGGTGGGGGGGGCCTGTCTGTTCAAAAAATGGCTGCCACAATGGGCATGGTTGGTTGCAAAATACCAGCTTCTCAGAAGGCAAACTGGTGAGAGTAAAAGGAAAGTAGCTTGCACAAGAATCTCAGTATGAGATAGAGGTGGGGCCTGAGCTATGAAACAGAATCATTCTTTCGAACTTGCCCATTGTTTTCGACTCCTTCATTCATTTCACAGAAGGCAAACTGTTGTGACTCAAGAGATACAGTATATCACAGTAGTGAGTACACCCCTCACATTTTGTAAATATTTTATTATACCTTTTCATGTGACAGCCCTGAAGAAATGACACTTTGATACAATGTAAAGTAGTGAGTATATAGCTTGTATAACAGTGTAAATTTGATGTCCCATCAAAATAACTCAACACACAGCCATTAATGTCTAAACCGCTGGCAACAAAAGTGAGTACACCCCTAAGTGAAACTGTCCAAATTGGGCCCAAAGTGTCAATATTTTGTGTGGCCACCATTATTTTCCAGCACTGCCTTAACCCTCTTGGGCATGGAGTTCACCAGAGCTTCACAGGTTGCCACTGGAGTCCTCTTCCACTCCTCCATGATGACATCACGGAGCTGGTGGATGTTAGACATTGCACTCCTCCACCTTCCGTTTCAGGATGCCCCACAGATGCTCAATAGGGTTTAGGTCTGGAGACATGCTTGGCCAGTCCATCACGTTTACCCTCAGCTTCTTTAGCAAGGCAGTGGTTGTCTTGGAGGTATGTTTGGGGTCATTATCATGTTGGAATACTGCCCTGCAGCCCAGTCTCCGAAGGGAGGGGATCATGCTCTGCTTCAGTGTGTCACAGTACATGTTGGCATTCATGGTTCCTGCAATGAACTGTAGCTCCCCAGTGCTGGCAGCACTCATGCAGCCCCAGACCATGACACTCCCACCACCATGCTTGACTGTAGGCAAGACACACTTGTCTTTGTACTCCTCACCTGGTTGTCGCCACACACGCTTGACACCATCTGAACCAAATAAGTTTATCTTGGTCTCATCAGACCACAGGACATGGTTCCACTAATCCATGTCCTTAGTCTGCTTATCTTCAGCAAACTGTTTGCGGGCTTTCTTGTGCATCATCTTTAGAAGAGGCTTCCTTTTGGGATGACAGCCCTGCAGACCAATTTGATGCAGTGTGCAGCGTATGGTCTGAGCACTGACAGGCTGACCCACCACCCCTTCATCCTCTGCAGCAATGCTGGCAGCACTCATACGTCTATTTCCCAAAGCCAACCTCTGGATATGATGCGGAGCACATGCACTCAACTTCTTTGGTTGACCATGGCGAGGCCTATTCTGAGTGGAACCTGTCCTGTTAAACTGCTGTATGGTCTTGGCCACCGTGCTGTGGCTCCGTTTCAGGGTCTTGGCAATCTTCTTATAGCCTAGGCCATCTTTATGTAGAGCAACAATTCTTTTTTTCAGATCCTCAGAGAGTTCTTTGCCATGAGGTGCCATGTTGAGGGGAAATGGCTAATAATGCCCAATTTGGACAGTTTCACTTAGGGGTGTACTCACTTTTGTTGCCAGCGGTTTAGACATTAATGGCTGTGTGTTGAGTTATTTTGAGGGGACATCAAATTTACACTGTTATACAAGCTGTATATTCACTACTTTACATTGTATCAAAGTGTCATTTCTTCAGGGTTGTCACATGAAAAGGTATAATAAAATATTTACAAAATGTGAGGAGTGTACTCACTTCTGTGATATACTGTAAATAATACTGCTGAGGAGCTAGATACAGGCACAGGTGAGGTCTGTTTCCAAAATGTTAAATCATATAGATGCCCCCGCCATTGAAGCATAATAAAATACTCATGTCACAGAAGGTAAATTGGTGATGTTCAATGTATCACAAGCACATATACACAGGAAAATCAACACACCATGCCAGAACAGCAGCCCACTGCTTTCAGGACTCTGAGGTTCTGAAGCATTCTTAGACATGTCACTTGAGGAGGCTAATAGTTCAATTTACAGCATACAAGTCTCTCCCCACTTCCCCATATTTTAGTCATCTCATAATCTTTAAAACTAGCATAAAAATCAGGGACCTAATAGTGTCTGTGAGCATCATGTTGCAGATACCAGCACTAAACTATGGTTTAGCATTATGCACCCATATTTGTATCTCTGGTTAAAATATTGTAGACAGAATGTGGAAACACGCATCTTCACAGTTTTTCTCAAGTCAACTTAGATTTTCATTGATGATTATTGTAGTTAAAGCTAACTAGGCTTGTTTAATCAGAATTGCTGGCCTCTTTAAGATGAAAACAAGTTTGACAGTTCTAAGTCAAATTGGTTATCCCTTTAGAAAGGGGATTTAGAGTGAGATGGAGGGGTTGGACTGGGACATACTCTGAAGAGTCCCATTTTTTACAGGGACCCTGAAATTTAACACCTGAAGTTTAGTACCTGTTAAACTCATTTTCCCATTAAAACAAGGTGTGAGGAGAGCAGTTTTTCTCTTCCACTGGTTCCCACAGGCTTCAGACAAATGGCAATCAAGCTGCTACATGGGGATTATAGAGAACAAAGCAAAAAGAGAAGGAATTTGCTGGGAAAAGAGTGCTATTTGTGAAAAAACCCCTTTTCAGCAAAAAAAAATCCTTTATACCTTTGCTTTCCATAAGTTGCTTGCCTTTCTTGAGCCACCCATTGAAAATCAGGGAAATGGATTCCTAGTTTTGGCTGGGCCAATATCCAGGAAGCAGTTGGTTGTTGCCTGCAGCATGCAGCTTTCTATACATTGTCCCAGCTGAGACTGGAAGATGCCCCTGTTGCACATAGCACATAGTATTTTTTGCTTCCATATGGGGCAAAACCATAATTGTTAAATATAGGTAGGCATGGGCAGCTCCTCTGAGATGTCAGTGGGAATTGTTCTCTCCACCATGGGGAGAACAACCCTACAATGATGCATTGATTCTTATCATGGGTAGTTTGAAGGAAACTACACTTAGTGGGTAACTGACTGAGTTTACAATGACATGAGAACCAGCTATTGACTGTTTATAATAGTTGGCTTTTGCATTGTGGCATCCCAGAATCTTTGCCTTTCTTTTGCAGTTGTTGTTCTGCATTTACTTTCGATTGTTGCTACTAATAGTGACTGATACCATAAGGCCAATTTTACCTTAAGTAAACATAGCAACTATCCCCTCAGTCACTTGGAATACCAAATGGATCAAGGTCTGTGAATCTTAGGATAGTCTCATGACTCACAGTGTTGCATTCTGGGATGAGAATACTTGGGAAAGAGATTTTTGACTTAAGCAAGTTAATTCAGGACATATGTCATGTCTATTGTATTTTTCCATACTCTGTCTGGTATAGCTCATTTGGTTTTTTAGCTCACGGTCACTCAGTTAAAAAAATTGTTAAAAATTTAAGTAGTGACTTAACTATGTTAAGAGCTTTATATAAATTGGAATGAGAAGACTTTTTTGAAGGCAAAAAACACAGATAATAAATGTATGTGTTGTAGAAGGAATAATCTTCAAGGCATTCCCAATCTTTCTCCAATAGGTAGTAATTGCTGTTGAGGTGAAACTTGTCATCTCAGTTTTTACAAATACACAATACATTTCTAAAAAGCTTGCCCTACTTAATCAAAATGGTTTAACTTACTGAGCATCTAACTATTACAGTCCTGGTTATGTTGACTGGAGCAGATGGAACATGGTTTGGCTAAATACACAATACTAATCACACTTTAAAAAAAGAGGTGTAGGCTGGTGACATTCTGCATTAGAAAGCTTTCCATTTTATGGGCCACCATTACATGATTTTTTTTATTTGTTTTTCAGATAGTTCCTTGTTTCATCACAAGTCTTTTCTCATATTATACCCTGGCAGCTAAATTGGAAACAGCTCTAATTGGGGGCTCTGGTGTGCTGATTGGGCTGGGGGTCGGGGTAGAGATTGTTTTAATGCCATGGAGTACAACTCATTCTGTGGCCTTTCTTTGGTGTGTTAGTTCCAGAAAGGCAACAAAGGAGCAAAACAAGCAAACAAACCAGTTATCCACCATCTTTCTAGCTCTATTGCCCCTCTCCCTAGAATAGTGCAAAGTTAACATCTATATATGTAGAATTCAGCAAGTTAGCAGAAATCTCATAAATGAAGGGCATATTTTTAGATGTCATTAAGTAGAATATTGTGGAGAAGCCACATGGACATTAGAACTGAGAGTGGCTAGCAGGGGACTTACTGAGTAGGTTGGGAGATCACTGAGCCAAAGAAGATGCAAGGACCTGAAAGCCTTTTATGTTTTTAATGATGTCAGGTTGTCAGATTTCCCACATTCAGTTATTCATGATAAGACAGATCCTTATTTTAAATGACACGTTGAGCTAAAGGATTTTTTAAAAGGCCACGGCATATTGTGCTAAAGTGAGGCAGCTTATTCATTGAGATGGATTTTTCCTGCCAATAGAATATTATTTATGTATTTATTTATTGCTATACTGCTCATAGCCAAAGCTCTTTTGGGGGTGATTGCATGGTTTGTACATCCCTGCTGAATCCTGACAAATATGGAATGTTAAGCCCATTATTTTCAAATTAGCACGAAGTACTCTTTTAATAAAATGAGTGCTATAGCTTGACTAGTTTTTAAATTGTACTTTCCCTCTCTGTACTTTGTATTGTTGTAATTGTACTTTCCCTCTTTGATGTTGTATTATTTCTGTCTGTTCTTTCTTATACACAGGGAAACTGCACTGCTGATAGATCCCAAAAACTCCTGTTCCTCTTCCCGTCAGTGGGTGGCACTCGTTGTGGGCCATGAACTAGCCCACCAGTGGTTTGGAAATCTTGTGACTATGGTACTTAAAGTGCATTTGACATCTCTTAGTTTGTTTAGGTTGAGGTTATATAAATAGTTAACCCATCATTTTGCTTTCCACCTCACAAATTAGAACCTGCTCCAACTATCTCTGCCTTATACACCCCAGATTAAGCTTTGGGCTACCCCCAAATCCAGGGGTCCTCAAACTTTTCCACCAGGGGGCCAGTTGAAAGCTGCTGGTGCTGGGTGTGGGCCAGACAGGTGGTGCGGGTGGTGTGTGTGGGCTGGTGCGGGGACGGCGAGTGTGTGCTGAGGCAGGGGGAGCGAGCGCTGAGGCAAGGTGAGACAAAGGCGGGCGGGTGCGTGCGGCAAGGAAAGGCAAGGCACAGGCGGGTAGGCGGCCTGGCGAGGGGAGGCAAGGCGGGTGCACAAGGCAGTGGCTTGCTTGCTTGGAGAGTGTTTTCTCCGAGCGAGCAAACTGCTGTCTCCCCACGCGCAGGGCAAGGTGGGCAGCAGTGTGCACACGGGTGCGGGTGCAGCAGGTCCAAATGGTCACAGTGGACTGGATCCGGCCCTCGGGCCATAGTGTGAGGACCCATTCCCAAATCATATACCCACATGTTCAGAAGAATGTCCTCTCCCAGATGTCACCCTCTACCCAGATGCTCTTAATACCATTTTGGCCAAAAAACAGAGCCACCCTCTGCACTGTGTTTATTCCACATTAGATGTTGAAGCATTGAAAATTTTATAGCACAGATATCCAGGAGAATGCCTTGTGCAAGCTGGGTTGATTTTTAGCTAGTCAAAAGCTTGTTTTGGGTGCAGGACACTGTCATATGAGTGTGCCCATACCAGTTACTGGGGCTGTGCAACCCACAATAAGTCAAATGAGTGTTCACAGCTCAAATACTGGGCTGGATGTATTTCCATGTAAGAGAACCCTCCTTGACCTCTGAATGTATTATCTGGGATCCCAAAGCTTATTCTGGTATGCAGAGCATGATACATTATACATGCTCTTGTCCACATATTAGCTGCTATTAGCATGACATGCTTGATTGTCCCCCATGCCAAAGAAGGCACTGAAGAAGACATCATTAAGTGTTACCAACTAGGGGACACAGCAGAGGGAAGTGAAGTTTCTTATGGGGTTTATACCTTCATTTACCACATGCTTCATCATGGTTTTTATCCTTATTACTATTAGAAGGAAAATTTTTGTTCATTCATCTTTTGTGGGGAAATTGCTTGGTGTTGCTTCCACAGCTAGGAAGAGAAGATCAAAGTAACCCTTTTCCAATCAGCTTGAAGCAGGTCAAAAAGTTTGAAAGATAAAAATGCTAGTTAACCACATTTGGGTGTATTCATTTATTTTTCACTATTCTCTTTTTTGGTAATCATGAGAAGCAAGGGGTTGCACAAGGAACTGATGCTCTGTCTTGCTTCGGTGGTGATCCACCATACATTGCTCACACATTTGTGAGCTTGTATTTGCAGATATGAAGCTTTATGTGGTGGTGTGGGAGGGAAGTGTTGAGATTCTTAGAAAGCTGCATTACGCACTCTAATTTAATAATAGTAGTAGAAATTCATTGAATACAGTCTTGGTTATAAATATACCAGTCCAGTCCAGCAAATACTATTCATTGTGGAAATTCCTAGGGATGTTTGGTTTCATTGCTCTGAAGTTTCCTCTCCACACTCAGCACCCAAAAGATTGGAAATTATGTACTTATGTATTTCACTTGCAAATAGAAGTTTGTCATGAGATCATCAGCTCATTTTCATTTTAAGACAAATGGGATGGTTTTTCCATACCATTGCAATTTTTTGGTAGGACTCTTATTTGCCTTCTTTACAATAACAACAAGGCCAGCTTTCCTCAGTTGTTGCATGACCTACCTGAAATAGAAAAGTATTAATCACAAAACATGTGGTGTATTTTTAGCATATGTCATTGCTGCTAGGACAGTTGGAAATAGGGAAGAGGCACTGTTTGTGACTTACAACTTTTTCATGACATGAAGGAGGGTCCTGGAGGGAGTGGTCATTTTCTGTAAACCTAATTGCATCAAAGCATTTAGTGTAGTACTATTTACCCTGCTCTCAAGACTTTTGTAAATCCATTTATCAAATCATGGTGGCTCCTCCCCTTTTAAACTTGTGTGTCAACTTTTCTGTTCCTTTTAATTCCTTAGGATACTAATTGATTTTGCCTGCATATCTGCCATGGGTAGCTGGTGACACTCATAGACAGTCTTCACAGGAAGAGTTGGTTCCATCACACTATGTGTGCTAATGTTAGATTTGCGCAGGCACCAAAATCATGAGTTTATCAGCTCATTTTCACAGTAAGCGAAATAACGAAGACACTGCCAAAATAATTTTTATTGGGTCAGAATCCCAAAACATTTTTTTACCATGACCTTGTGGCAAGGATGCTTAGTTTTATATTGGAATGTGCCTGCATTATTAGATTTTCATGTATTTTGTATTAAATTGCATAAATGCAGTTTATACAAAATACAAAAGATGCAGTTTGTGTTTCATCCTGCCCTAATTTTGTATGCAGTTTGTTCTTGTTATCCTCAGAGTTCGTATCATATAAACAAGGCATAAAATGATACACATTTTTGTTGGTGTGAATAAATTTCTTTTGTTGTCTGTCTTCCCATTCTTCCATTCTTTCCTTCAGCTTAGTGTTTTTATTTTTAAAATCTTACTTTTCTCAATCCCAAACTGTGGTTTTGCCAAAAATTTGTATTGATTGTGTAAGCCTGCATCCCGAAGCATGCTTGAAACAAAATTCATCCAGCAATTGGTTTATATACATTTGGTGTGGCTGTGCTTTTAAAGCAAAGCACAGGGATTTTCCTGGTTTACGCCTGTAAGGTTCTTTCAAGGATCATCCAAGTTTGTTGTTTGTTTGTTTTAAGAAAAGCAGGAAATGTTTAATAATCCTGAGAACTTCAGCCTCTTCTTTAAAATCAAAAGCGGGTTTTTTTCCTCTATGTAGTAGTGAACATAGGTTTGAAAGTTAAAAAGATTAAATTTGGAAATACTAAGGCAGACTTTACAGTACCCAGGCTGTTGTAGGTTTTGTGCCCTTCATGATTCTTTTTTGCCATAACTAATTAATAGAAACAATAAAAATCCAAGGTATACTTCTAATTGTTATGTTTTATTTATCTTGGTATAGAAGCTAAGTGCGGAGTATACCTATTCAGAATATGCATGTAATTTATTTTGGGATGGGATGACATCAGGAAACTTACTGGTGTTGTTAGGGGTGCATAATTACTCCCTCCAGCCCTCTATGCCTGTCTGTGTATGTGTTTAAACCCAGTGGTCTTGTTTGCACATAATACTTATTCATGATATGGATTGATGAATTCAGTGTTGTTGCGCTGTCTGAATACAACTGTGCTAACAAACCCCTGGCATTTGCTGGGTTAACTTTGGGTTATTTAATCCATAAACTACCATTGTTTCTGGGTTTGGACACAATAAAACCTCAGGAATGAGGCATTCTTCCGTTACTAGCTGGAAGCAGCAACAACAGGTGCCTAGGAGGACTGAGAACTTCACCAGGAACTGTGGCATGAAATGCCAGTTGGGTCAAAGGTAGAAGGTACTGAGAACTGTCAAACAATACTGATCTAATGGATAACTCCAAAAAGAGTGAATCTATCATTGTGGTCTCTGGGTACCACGGTTAATGGCTCTGCTCCTGCATGGAGCCTGTTTTCAGGCAGATTCTACAGCTGAGAGAGATTTGGCAGGATCCCCTCCCCCACCTTCAGCATCAATATATAGAAAGGGTCCCCATCCATTCCCTCAGTTCTTCTTTGACCACCACTGTAGTATCTCAGTAAGTTCTCACTCTCTTTTTGATGCTGCGGCGGGGGGAGGTCTTTCAATGTGTTACTCTTTTCTTTGAAATTACTTACTTTTTTCTTCTTGCTTTCTTCTCTCTTACGGTTTTTCACCCATGCCTTTTCCTATTTAAAGAACTCCATTTGTCTTTTTCTCATTTTATCATCACTTTTTGCCTTTTTAATTCTGTCACTACTATTACTTAAAAGCCTTCTTTCTGAGATGACACTGGTGCCTTTAGAAAGTGCATATTGTAGGAGTAAATTTTTACTGACCAATGGACACTCCCTCTGCCTTTTCTGCCTAGGAGAGGAACATATTATTGATGCCTGCCCTCATTGTTGGACTTTTAAAGCAAGCCCAAAGAAACAGAGCAGACCACCTCAGAGTGGAGCTATGGAGCAAGGCTCTTGGAGGAGTAAATTCCTCAAACCCCATGGAGAAGGTGCATAAGTCTGCTTTGGAAGCCCCAGCTTTACCTCTATCTGTGCCACACTGCCAATACCTGAATGCTCAGTGGAAGTATCCAAGGCCAAAAAGTTGGCTGAGAGGGCCAAAGCGGCAAAATTGACAGAAACTACTACAACTGAAGGTCTATAAGCAAAATTCAAAGACCCGCCACTCCAGACCAACTCAGCAAGCCTAATTGCTGCCAACTGTGCTAGAATCTAAGCCTGTGGTACCAGACAAGAACAGGTCTTGGCAACCTCAGTAGTAGATGGAGAGGTCCAAGATGCATGGCCACAATGGCAGACCTATCCTTGTCCTACAACAGGGTGGTGTTGGTCAGCCAGTTTTCACTGGTCCCAGTGGAGTTGGCCCATATTGAGACCAAGTGCTATACTGCTCCCACTCTCCTTTCTTGGACCAGGATAGGCACTCAGAATAGTCTGCTGCATGTTTGTACTGATGATGCTATGATCCACTGGGATACTCATGAGATCCCCTCTATGATCTTTGGTACCGATGAGAGCGCCATCCTCCTCCACCTGAAGACCTAGTTTCCCAGGGCCCATCCTTCCCATCTGAAGGGTCCAAATCTTCCTGACCTTGAAACTTGTGCCAAGCACAACTTCCTCTTTCATTCCCAACGCATGCCATGAAACACTCCTGAGCTTGTGGGAGATTGGTTTTGATGAAAGCTGAAGGAAGAGACACTCAGACATCTGTCGGCTGTTGGGTGGACCACCACTGTCTGGGCCATCATGGTAGTATGATGATGCAGCCCATTTCATCTTGATGAATGTTCACAATCTGATGGAAGGGGAAAACAGATAGAACAGTTCCCCCAACCAGTCCAGGAGGAAAACATCATCCACTCCTGCCCAACAGCAGAAATGAGGCCATATCCCATTTTCCTGAGTAGTTGAAAACATTGATTGAAGGACTCACTGTGCCTTCCCAAAAGCTAGCAGCTTCTGTGGTGCATACTTTCTACTTATGATCTTCCTGATCCTCAGATTTCAGTGCCACTGAACACTTACTTTATTCAGGTGATAGCAGCCTATGCTGTTCTGCAGAGGCCTGGTAGAGGTATCATGGAGAACAGCCACCTTGTCTAAGAAATTGACATTCATGTAGCACTGCAATGTTGACATGCATGCGAGAGTAGATTGTGGCTTTGGGAGAAGAGTTTCCCTTTTGGTTCTCTGTTGATTTCACTGACCCCCTTCTGGATAGGTAAGATTGCTAGTTGCACATATGTGTGATGCATGGAGACCACAAAGAAGAAAGGCAGGTTGCTTATCTGTAACCGTCATTCTTCAAGTATCCACACAACCCACTTACTGGCAGTATCATATATTGACATGCTTATCTATTTAAAAAAGATTGCTTTGGACCATTGTTGAGCTACTTATACCAATTCCTTTCTTGATCCTGAGGCCACAGTGTCAGTCTTGACTGGAAACCCCTTCTATATGCTGAGGGCGAGGGAGGGGTTCCAATCAAAACTCTGTCCACTGTAGAATTTTTGTGACAACAGGCTCCATGCAGGTATAAAGCCCATATGGGTGAATGCACCTGTAACTACAAAGGACAGTAGTTACAGGTAAGGATTCTGCCTGTGTATTACTCCCCACCCCTGAAGCAAAACCACCTTCACCTTTTGGTTTTCACTTGACAGGTATTGATTGTGCGCAAAACAACCTGTATATAGACTTGCTTGGTCAGTGTACATCAATGTTTCTTACTGCACTTTGACAGCAGATGCATACCAAGACATTAGTCAGGCAAGACCCCACAGTTGTAGGAGTGCACCTGAAAAGAGCCCCTCCTCCAAATGGAACAAATTTGTACACTTTTGTGCTTTCTAAAAGCTAATAAAGAAGGGTAATAGCCCAGTGATAAGCCAGTAGACCAAAGTACCATTTATGCGCCAGAGGAATGGCTGTCACTGGCAGCAACATGGGGCTGAGTTCATGATTGGAGCAGGAGATAAGATGGGTTCTGATGCACAGGACCCTGGAATACTGTCTGGAGAACCAGAGGGGGAGAACTCACAGTAAGTCCAATCACCTGGTTCAACACAGTGCCAGTTGTTCTGCATACAGTTGGTACTTAATTGCAGGGTGGATTGCCATGTCATGTGAACTTGCCTGTCTGAGAGTTTATTTAGATGGAGCAGACTCTTACCTATTAGGAGTGGTAGCCAAGCATATTTAAAGAACTTCTAAGCCTTCTGAACCTATTCCTCTAATTGGATAGGGACATTTTATCCTCTTCTGTAGATGTTGAATATAAACATCTTTTTTGTTCATTTTGAAAACTTGTCTCTAGTGGTTATGTCAATCTCATGACTGTGCCATGAGTAGCAGGCTACTGAATTACCTTTAGATATAAAAAATAACAATTGTTAAAAACTTTATAGCTGAGGCTGCATTATCTAATGGTAAGTTCTAATTCAAAACTTTATGTAAAAAGGTGGCAGTAAGTTCCATACATTGAAACATCAAAAGAGTTATTTTTGAGAAAAGAAACTTGGGTGAGATAAGATACATATTATTAAGTTGCATGTGGCAAACTAACCTTTTAAGCATGTGGGTTTAGAGTTGCATGCATTAACTGCTACCACATCTAACCAGAAAATCCCAGATATATTATACAGCAAAACCCAAATTGTCAAGAATGAAATAGTGACTCTAGTCACATATTGAAGAAACTGACTTTGATTCTTCCGAGATGTCTATCAGTAAAGATACCTTAGATCAATAACTTTATTAATAAAGAATGGAAGAAAGAATTAACCCCCCACCATGGCTCCTGCATTTCAAAAAAACTTTATAGAAGACCCTCTTCCCCAGTCTGCTTTTGCTTGTCCAAACCAAGACATGAACATAATACTTTTTAACATAGTCTTGCAAACTTTAAATAGCAAAAAGGCTGGATATGATTGCTTCCTGGTCTTGATTTGCCTTCAACACCTGAATATAGATGTTTGCCTACTAAAATATTGAGAATTATGAAAAAAAGTAAAAAGAGGAGCCTGGTTTGAGACTTGAAAAATGAGTTTTTATTTTTTCACAGTTGCATTAATCCTGCCAGGGCTTTGTACTTTGAAGCCCCTGAATTTTGTCTTGAAACCTGATCTAATTGGAACAGGTAACTGTTCTCCTCAAAAATAAAGTTAAGCGCATCAATATAAAATTTGGTCACCATTATTGCTTACACAAGGTGGTGTTGATGGTGACAATATGCTTCATTTGTCACAAAGAAGCTTTGGTTTGTTGCAACTTTAGTTTGTATTGTATTTCCTGTTCCAGTTAAAAAATGTAGCTAGCTAAACAAAACATTTTTTCAGTAGCTGGGAGGGAGGGTTTGGAAATAAACAATATTTCCAAAGATACATTTATGTCATGAATAGTACAGCTACTTCCTTCTTGAGCTGCTTCAGAGATACGATTGGTTATTCATACAGTTTCAGGCTGAGTGCTAGAAACCTGCTTTTTAAAAAGGATATTGAATTCTATGTCACTTTTCCCTCTAGCACAGAATTGCACAATACAATTTCATTGGTATGGGGCTGTAAGCTCCTCCACATCTTTACTGATATCAATGTGAAGAAATCCTGATATCTCAGAGACTGATGGCAACTTCTTGTTCTTGTGTCTTCAAATCCATAATAAACCTGTGTTTTTAAGTAGCAGTTCTCTCTCCTCATTGTAGGAGTGGTGGACCCATCTGTGGCTTAATGAAGGTTTTGCATCCTGGATTGAGTACCTCTGTGTAGACCATTGCTTTCCAGAGTATGATATCTGGACCCAGTTTGTTTCTGCAGATTACACACGAGCTCAGGAGCTTGATGCCTTAGACAACAGCCATCCTATTGAAGTGAGTGCCTAGTGTAATTAGTAGAGTTTGTATGTGCTCTCTCTGTCATTCTTGCATGTTTTTACATGTTCACTCATCATAAGACACCTTTCTTTGAAAACTGGAGGTGAAGTTGGGGTAAAGGATGCATCAAGAATGGGGGTGGTTTTGTGGTTCGTGATTAAGAGTGTAGGACTGGGACTCAGGCAATAGGGGTTTTGGTCCCTGCTTGACCATGGAGCAAGCTGGGTGAGTTTGGGCCAGTCACAGGCTTTCAGCCCAATCTACCTCACACAGTTCTGTTGTAAGGATAAGATTGAGAGCAGCAGGAGGAGAATTATGTAAGCCATTTTGAGTTCTTTAGAAAAGAAAAAGGGATATAAATATATTAAAATAATGTGATTCTTACTAATTAATCTATAAGATTAATCAATATTATTGCTGTAAAATTGTCTAATATTTAACTGGAGATAGATGCAAGCCATATACAATCTGTTCTTGTGATTTTCTGCTTCTCTTACATCAGGTCAGTGTGGGCCATCCATCTGAAGTAGATGAAATATTTGATGCAATTTCATATAGCAAGGGTGCATCAGTAATTCGAATGCTACATGATTACATTGGGGATGAGGTAAAAGTATATTCTAATTAACTATGGATGTTCTGTACAAAGTATAGTATAAAGGGAGTATATGTATGTGAGTTTGGAATGGATGAAGCAAACGACTAGTAGGACACAGTCCTATGTGTGTGGAAAGCCAGTGTGGTGTGGTGATTAGCATGTCAGATCGCAGCTCAAGAGATCTGGACTGTACTCCCACTCAGCCATAGAGCTCCCTGACTTTGAGCCAGTCACAGACTCTTGGCCCAACCTACCTCACAGGGTTGTTGTGAGGATAAGATTGAGAGGAGGAGGAGGAACATCATGTGAGTCACCTTAAGGTCCTCAGAAGGAAAAAAGGTGGAATTTAATTAATAATTAAATGTCCTAAAATTTGCAGTATTTCCCGGCCAGCCATTTATCCTTTGTCTAGCACTGGCACAGCCAGGTAGTTCTGAGGGTACACAAGCAGAACATGAAGGCTAATGACTGTTTTCAGCATCTGATATTACCTGCCTGTTCAGTGTCTTGATAAGCTAAATTTGGAAAGCTTTGTTTTTATTTTAAAAATCTTATATTCTAGGATTTCCGGAAAGGAATGCACCTGTATCTTACCAAGTTCCAACACAAGAATGCAGCAACAGGTAACTGACCATTGTCTTTACTTTCCTCAGTGATCCCCTTGGCTCTACAGCATTTCATTTTAGAGGGGGAATTAATTCTCCAGTAATTAGTTTTTATACATGAAAAGTCAGGGAAATTCACCTGAAAATGTTTCATAATAAATTACATCTTTAAGGATACTAGACCTACTAGTATCCTTCTTCTTCTTCTCTTTCATCTTCTTCCTTCTCTTCTTCCTTCTTCTTCCTTCTCTTTCTCCTCTTATATTTTTATTTTATACTGATAATTTTAATTTTGTATTTGTAAATCAATGTATTTTTTGTATTTTTATATTTAATGGTAATTTATTATGTACTATTGTATTTCAATGTATTTTATCATGTTGTAAGCCGCCCCAAGGTTTCGGCAAGGGGCGGCATAGAAATGTTATAATAATAATAATAATAATAATAATAATACTAGAAAATCACAGTGGTGGGTTAAATATAACTTTAGGGGGAAACCATTTCAAATTCTGAATTGGAAACTTAGCTGTAATAACTTCTGACCTCCCCCCACTTCAAAAGAAGTAAACTGATCTTGTATTAAGGCCTCTGATAGCTTCCTTTAAAAAAATGAAAAGAAAAAATGAACGAGTTAGGCATAGAATTAAATGTCTAAAGATGAAGAATTAGGGGAAAGCCCTTATGCAATAGTTCTACTCTTAATATTTTATATAACCCCAGCAATGTGCTAGAATCAGATTCTGTACAGAATACAAGAACTCAAATAATAATCTCTGCTTAGAGGGCTTGCACCTGCACCTTGGCTCTGTTCGTAGCATATAATTTGGTATGGATATAACAATTCAAGGTCGGTTCAGATGGTAATCTCTTCACAAGCGTTTGAGTCATTTCTTATTTCCTTATACACTAGCGTAAGGAAAGAGGACTGAGGCACACCAAAGTCCCAGTAAAATAAATGGAACTCTAGCACTTAACTATGGGTTTAAATGTTGATCATGGCTGGATATATCTTGATTGTTCCTACTGTGTATATTCTATAACATTTTGATCAGACTTGCTAGCAGCTTTTCTTATACTGGAGATTTGTGGGCAGCATAGCTGCCTGGACAGAATCAGGAATAGTGAAGCCAGACTGGCAAGCTGAAAGGGACTGTGGATACACAAACAGGCACAGAATAGAGGCTCACAAAGTAGTTGCAGGAAAACAAATGAAAAATGTAGGTAATATCAGAAGGAAGCACAAGCAAAGAAATTTTATACAAGCTGTGAACCAGTCTGGTGGCAGCCTGTTTTACTGTAGGGATGTCAACTTCGCTGAGATTTGAGTAGCCATGTGATTTTGAGATTTCATAAGTTGGCAGTCTACACAGGATTGAGAGAAGATGTCTGGTGCAATTCAGCTCCTGTGTTAAACAGTCTAGATTTTATGTGGCTGACAGTAGCTCAGATCTTATGTGTAATTGGAAGCATGGTTTGTAGGAGGATGAAACAACCCTCCAGTATCTCACTGGATATTACGAGGTCCCCCTCTCCTTCCAGCAAGCCAAGCAGCCTGGACTATGGTTACTTAGAACATGCCTGATATGTACTGCCATTCAAATAAGTCACAGTGACTTATTTTGATTGTGTGATCATGAATCTACATAGAGAATTTTGTTGCCTCAGTTTCCTACTTACTCAGTGGGAATAATAGCTGCTTACCAAAGTTGTTTGCAGGAGGCATTAGCAGAACTTTTGGAAAGGCTTTTGCACATTAAAGTACTGTCAAAATGGTTGTTAATGGTACTAGAATCAAAGCAGTTTGTGCAGTGTTTCCTTCAGGAGACTTAAAATGTTTTCTTTAGTGCGAGGTGGTGAGATTATTTAGTTTGGGTTTTTTCCCTCTGCAGAGGATCTTTGGGAAAGCTTGGAACATGCTAGTGGTAAACCCATTGCTGCTGTGATGAATACATGGACCAAGCAGATGGGGTTTCCACTTGTTTATGTGGAGGTGGAGCAGGTAGGTACACAGTTTCTGATTCTGATGGGGGCTTTGCTCAGACAATAGGAAGGGCAATGGTATGAGCTTCCAAATATATAGGCAAAACATAGTTTAGAGCTAATTCCTCTGCTTTCATTTTCTGTCTCCTGAGCACTCCCATTTCTAGAGTGCAAGAGGCCTCAATCATCATCATCATCATCCATACGTATACCAGAGAACACTACCAAAGCAGTTCAGCAATTATTGTAACCCGTGTCTTGTCAGTTTGGACATTATGTCAGCAGTTTTGTTTTTAATTGCAAATCCACCAGCAACAGCAAGCAAAAAATAGTGGAAGGGAAGACACAAATCATGTTTGCAAAGATACTTCAAGTAATGTTTTCTCATTCTAGTTTCCTGGATAAATAGAAAGCATGGTTTGTCAGTACAGATATCATGCAAACCCTAGTTAAGCATGATGCCTTGAATTGCATCTGTGACTATATACTCCCCCAAAACAGTCCACCAATATCTATGCTTAGTAAATAATTGATATTTTTAGAAACATTTAATGTATGCTTTCCTATTACACAGTTGGAGGCTTTATAGAATTTGGGATTAAATATGGAAAGGCAAGTAGTATGTCATATCAATATAGATTCCTTAGCCGCAACCTGAACAGGAATATGCAAATGAAGCAAATTTGCGAATCTATGTTAATACTGTCACTTGTTTCAAATCATCACACGGAGTAATTTATGTGGAGACAGGTGATAGAACAGTGTTGCACTTGTGCTATATTTATATATATTTATATATCTAAATTAGTGAATCATTCAGATCATACATTCAAACTATGCTATATTTTTGTGTGGTCTTTAGTTCTGCAATAAATGAGGAACAGATGTGCAGAGTACTGAAGCTGCACGACTGACCACTACAAACTATATTCAGCTGCTGCTTATTTCCTCTAAGCATGGCCCACACTGTTTTATGCATACTTTCATAGCCAGAAAGTCTAGGTATCTTTTTTGGTTTTTTAAAGAAGAATTTGATTTGCAAATTTTCAGTGCTGGTGTATGCAGTGGGCATGCTGAAATTTTCTGCTCAAAAATTCTGAGGAAGACTAGCAGGAATGAGCAGATATAAGTTAAATGAGCTGCTTTGCTGGAAGATTCTTGCTCCTCCAGCACTTCAAGCAGCAGATGTATTTTGCAACTTAATATCGTAAACCTCTGGATACAGGTTTTTTGTGTGATTTTTTTCCCCCAAATAACCAAAAATATTTTGATTGTGAGTGCACAGGGGAGAAACTATTATAGGGAGTTGTAAGTAAAATAGAAAAAGGAAGTGATAGAGGCCAGGACTTGAAGGGAGCAGGTCAGGGAAACAGGAAAGGAGGCACTGGAAATGTAATGGTGTAAAAGTCTACTTTTTCTAGCTACATAACCACATTCATGTTAAATTAACTGAATGTTGTATACTAATTTGTACAATCCTTAATGCTGTTTTTTATTGTGCCCCAATTGATTGGAATCCCCTGAACTTGGATGCTTCTGACCAATCTGTACAGAGTGTCTCATCATACTCCTGCCCTGCATATTTTGGTGGGCTTTTTAGCATGGTGCTTCAAAGAGGGTGGGAAGGAGGTTGGAGAAGACTCAGGGCAACTCATATCCTGGCCTCTTTGTCTCCTATACTGTCTACCCACACCTTCTTTTCCCCCTCTCCTGGATCTCTTTTCCAATCTCAAAGGTCAGCTGGCATATTTCTTTCTATATTGCTTGCAGGCAGAAGGGAAGAGGGGTCGGATCTTCAGATCCTGCTTCTGAGGGCAGATTGCTTGTCTCTGATTTCAGAGGGAGGAATCCCAAGTATCTTATAGCTATCAAGACAATGTCAAGAATCTGTAGGATTCCACTTGCAGTCAACATAACTGTGAGGGATGGGCCAATATAATCTCTGTATCACAGCTGGGAATCCAGGGGCAGAGAAAATGTCTCATGATTGGCCACAAATGGCTGAGGTGGAGCTTTGTGTCAAGGGTTTCCTCTATCTTGGCTCATACTGTTAAGCACTATGTTGCATCAATACTTTGGTATGACTTTGCTAATAAACAGTGTAGTTTTAAAACAAATAATATAAGAATATGTGTTTAATTGTAGCAGATTTGCTTCATTTAAAAAGGTGCTATGGGGTACTTAAATCAGCTTGGTAATTCTGCTCTTTGACCTGGAAGTGCCATCCCCTAATCCTAGATGAGACTTTGCTTTAGTTACTCAGTAGAGGGCTCAGAGCTGTTCTTTTCCCCATCCATCCCCCAGGTGCGTAACATGGTTTGCGAGCCCCAGAACTCATTTCTGGAATTACCAGAAATAACTCAGATCTAGCACTTAAGTTCTTTTGGGGGCGGGTGTTTATGTTAAAGTTATTCAGTCATAAAAGTCCACATTTTTCTCCTCTCTGTATCTCAATAACTTTATTATCAACATTGTCTGAGGGAGTTGGAAAGGAGAATTTTTAAGCTGGAGCCCTTCATCCAAAGTATATTTGGCACATTATTTTATGTTGAAAGCCTGGGCCTGATATGGAAAGCAGATAGTATCAGGTTAGACCAGTGCCATATTTTACTTGAATAGATGAGGTCAAGTCAGTAGACTATGTAATTGGTTGCATTACAGCCTCATTTGTCCTGTGCACCAGTAGCACTGATAAACCACTCCTGGCTGTCATATTTCAGTTATGACATACTATATGGGGTATAACACAGTATCATAAGGAAGCGTGCCAGCTGTGACTGGGTCATCTGAGCATGAGAGCAGCCAAAAAAGGTATGTGGGGATGGGGAGTGGGCAATATGAAGTGGCTCAAAAAGTTGTTCGGGCAAACTCTGAATGTTGTTTACAATCCTAATGAGGCCTCCGAGGATAAGGGTAAAACAGTGCTGGGGATATGATCTAACTTAGAGGCATCTAGAAATGTGTGAGTACAATTCTGGCATCTTGTTCTCCACTCCAGCAAGAAGATGACAAAGTGTTGAAGCTAGTCCAGAAGAAATTCTGTGCCAGCGGACCATATAGTGGTAAGGCGATGGCTAATAACAGGAGCCAAGCAGCGCACCATATTGTACGTGACACCAGCCATTCTGCGAAACAGCACTTGCACTGTCAGTTTGTGCAGGCAGGTGTCCTTTTTAGGATTTAGATGTTTGAAATAACTTGACCTTTAAAAAAAACCAACCAAACTACTAAGTCTGAAATTCTAGTTTTCAATGTGTTTTTTCCTCCTTATGTTCTGCATGTTTTAACTAGGAAGATTGTGAACTGCCTTTACATTTACTTTACCGTGTATTAATTGTGTGTGTATGTATCAAGGCACTAGGAAAAAATTTTACATAGTTGTTTTCCCCTATATATGAATATTTAGTTTTGTATGGATTCAGTGATACACTCAATTATTCTACCATCATATACCATTGGCAAACCATTGTTGGGAATATAGTGGCTAGGAAGTTCAATGTTTAGGGAATCATGAAGTTAGAAAGAACTAAGCCTTCTAGTATAACCCCTGCTGGAAGGTAGATACATCAATTGACATAATCCAGGCTGTAATCAGAGAGGACAGCACTTCAGAAATAGGCTTTAGAGCAAATAGCATAGTCAAACCATGTGTGCAGAAGAAAGCACAAAATAAAAAGGCAAACTAGTCTTTGGTCAGTCTGGAGTAGAAGTCATGCAGCAGGGAAGAAGGTTGGTTGCTGGGAATGGCAGCTGGCATGCCCACTTGCTGAACCCCTTTTTCATGTGCACTGCTGCTGGCAGCAGCAAGCAGGGAAAAAGGTTGGTCACTTGGAATGGCAGCTGGTGCACCTGCTCACAACTCCCCTCTTTTGCATCCTGCAGCCACTCCTGACAGGGTAGGTTGCTGGTTGCACAACTGGGGGGTTGTGAGCATTCATGGACTTTCTCTTGGCTTGGCTTGCTTTGCAGGACTGGGCCCGAGCACAAGAGGAAGTCTGGATTCTGGAGGGATGGATTCTGAAAGGGTTCATCTCAACCCTAAGTCAAATAATCCCCATGAAAGAACTTCTGTTGAGGAAAAAGACCACAATGTATAACATTCGTTTGCTGACTGTGGCAGTCCCTACTGCCTCAAGGAGAAATGGGGGGCCTACATGAACATATATGGAAGGAAACTCTTCTTTACTCTAGTGGGGCACAACTGAGGTACCAGATCCTTTTAACTTGTTCACCTATCCTGGCTGTTTCAGACATTTGTACCTCCCAGTAGCACAACACATTCCTGGTATTTCCCGGTTGAATTTGGTAGCAGTCAGCTCATAGCCTTATTCCTGTAGCCATCTGAAAGCAAAACCGCTTTCTGCTTTTTCTTACCCTTTCTGATTTATTGTATAGTGTGATCATGTCCCTATCCAGCCTTTATCTTTTGCAGAGGAGTGAATCAAGTTCTTTGCGTTTGTTGCCAAAGATACTTTTTATCAGACTTAATTCAAGATTCATGTGTGTATAAGTGAACAACACCAGATAATTCTATAGGGCTTATTTTGAAGGATTTATTTCTACACTTTTGTCATGCTATCATAAGAATGTATTTTATCTGCTTTGCAAACCAATGAAATAGTGAAGAACAAGTTTTACTAGCAGCAGTTCTCGATTATTGAAGATCCAGGTCTATTAATCTTTGAACAACAAGAAATTGGGACCTTTCTAGCCATAGTTGCCCAGTACTTCTGCAGAAGAACCTAGTCTGTGCAGCTTGTTGTCCATTTCTCTCATCCATCAGTTAACATACATACCTGAAAGCAGTAGAAACAGGTAGTTACCAGGAACTGCTAGAAAATGTAAACATAGCCACCATTTAAAGGGTTCAATCCATGCCTTGCACACAACAAATCAAATCACTATTTCTAGATTAATGGCTCCATTCTGTACACAGGGAGGAAGGCCCAGCAACTTCCTAAGAAAAGAGGACTGGACTTTTTCCATGCGGGAGTAAAATCCCAAAATCAAAATAGGAATGCCATAAATAAGTTGGGCCAAGGTCTTTGCTTTATAAATTTGCATGGCAGAGGAAATATGATGTCAACCTTGTGTTAAAAAAAAAACTTAAAATCTGCTGCTGGGCAAAGTTTGCTGATTAAATTGCTTGCCTACATTTTTCAGACCAAGAGCCCAGTGCTTTGCATTTGAATTCCTAGATATTTTATATGGGAAATGTGCTCAATGATATTGCCATTTATAGTCCATTTAAATTGTTTTCTAGCTTTAGAGAACACCAGGACTTATTATAATTAATGATCAGGTCATACATAGAGCAATAAGTTCCAAATGCAACTAGTAAACAATTTAACCCAGTTCTAGAAAGTGACAGCAATACAGCATCATCAGCATACAGAAGTAAAGATATCTTAGTATTGCACAGTCTGGGAGCATGAGAATTGGAGGTTATGGAAATGGAAAGCCAGATTATTTAAAAATAAATTAAAAAGAAAAGGGGCCAGAATACGACCTTGTCTAACTCTCCTTGTGACAAGAATTGGGTTAGTAGCTTGTCTTTGCAGACCATATCTGACTTCACTGGAAGTCTGGTTGTACAAACATCTGATATGGAACAGTAGGCGCTTATCCATGGAACAATTATGTAATTTAGGCCATAAATTTCCTCGAGACCAAATCAAAAGCTGATTTAAGGTCAATATAAGCAGCAAATAGCTTCCCGCCAGAAAATGAGGTATACTTTTCTGCCAGATGTGCCAGAACACAGAAATGGTCTAAGGGATAACCATTAGTTGTGACATGTGTGCATTGGTTTTAACCACACCATCATATTTTACAAGTCGGCTTGGTTAAAATGGGTTCAACCTTCTGGTTTTTGCTTCACACAAACTACTTCCCAATGCAATTAGTAATACAAAGCTTTAATTTTTAGCGGATTCTGCTTTTCCTTAATGCAAGTAGAATATGACTGAAACCATATGTGATAAACTGAAGTGTTAGTTCATGTAAATATCATGTATGACCTGATATTTAAATCTGCACATTTAAAGTGACCAGAAAATGTAGTTACTGCATTTTTCTACTGTTTATTTTATCTAGAAAACTGCATCAAAGAGCTACTGTTCTTTGCAGAAAATTTCAGTTGTTTGATTTCCAAAGTGCATTTACAGGTTGAATGTCAACAAACAAAAACAAAAAGGAAGCTTGGATGAATTTGTACAAGCACTGTACAAAAGTGCTGGAAGCAGCTGTAACTTTACTGCTATAAAATCTTGGGGATATTTTCCATGGGATTGGGCAGTACGCCATACCATGCATTGTTCTGTCAGACTTCCTTCTTCTCTTTCATATAGGTGAGGATTACCCTCTGTGGATGATTCCCATCAGTATCTGTACAAGCGAAGACCCAGCCCATGCCAAAACACAAGTTTTGATGGATAAGCCTGAGCTGACTTTGGTTTTGAAAGATGTGAAGCCAGACGAGTGGGTGAAGGTGAGCAGATGTAATTTCCAGCCTACCATCCTAAGGTGGAATGTCTCATATTTTACCTGAACAGCACCTTGACTGACCAAGTAGTCCAGTCTGACCTGCATATTTTTAAAATAAATTATGCCCTTGTTCTTGCAATGTTGTGACACCACAGGGCCCAAAGATCAGAGCTTTGGACCTGCAGCTTCTGTATTAGTTTGCACCCAGATTTATGCCATCAGCACTTGTATATATTTCTTAATATAAGCCTCCCTTGTAAGCATGTCTCTTCTGCTGCCAGTTTTTCAAATTGGGTTGGGATGAGCAGACAAGATGGTTCTACTATGGAAGATGCTGGGATACAGGCAAAGGGGGAACAACAATCCATAGAAATCTCACTTGTCTGCTGGGCATCCTCTGAGGTCATTCAGTGAATCCTGTGTAGTGTATTTGCAAGTACAGCTTACTGCAATGTGTAAGTGCAGTCAATATAGGTTTGAGCATTAGATGTAGGTTTTCCAATACTATTGCAATGTTAATTTTGCTGCATGCCAGTATTCAGATCATAATTCTTTGCCTAAACTACCTTGAAATTATTAATGAGAAGAAACTCAAAATGTTACTATAGTACAAAGTGCTATAGAATTAAAACAGCACAGCTTTTTGTATGAAACAGACAATGTTCAAGGGCCTGTAAAAAGTGATGCATACAATTGTGTCCAACAAGAGGATAACATGTTGCTACTGAACCTGTAAATAATCTCCATTTTAAATGACACAAAAACATGGTCAGTATGAACAAATTACATTTCATCTGGATTTCAGAGAATCTTCCAAATGTAAGGCTTCTGACAAAGGAATACCTTGTGATGAGCTTTGTAGGAAGGAGATCCCATCTCCTTCTTGCTAAGGAAAATGAGCCATTTTTTCTGGATTGTCAATTTGATAGTGCGGGAACTTTCATCTTTTCTCTAACTCTCTCTTTGGAATGTTTTCTCCTCTGTTGACGTTGTTACTCTGGTAGTAAGTCTTTTACCTTACTGCACAAAGTACTATTTATTCTGTTTGCCATTTCTGACTCAGAGACACAGACAAGGATAACTTGGAGATCATGTCTATATTTCTAAGTCATTTGTGCTGGCTTATTTTTTCCTTTCTATGTTTTCAGCTAAATCTGGGAACAGTTGGATTTTACCGCACACAGTATAGTTCAGACATGTTGGAGAGCTTGCTCCCAGCCATCCGTGATCTTTCCTTACCCCCGGTGGACAGGCTGGGGCTGCAGAACGATCTCTTTTCTTTGGTAAGTTCTTGCCTGGTGTTAATCCTGTTGCTGTAGACATGACTCTTGGTGTTTCCTGACATCTTGTTAGCCCTAGTTTTAAAATCCTGGCTATGGTGCAATTTCCTTGCAAGAGAACTTTTAACTTCTAATTCAATAGTCTGTACTTTGTGTAGTGTGTTTTTAAAGATAACAAAGAATCTGAAAGAGTCAATAAATTAAGCAAATAAAATATCAAGTGGGAATGCAAACAATGCTGCATAGGGAAATTCTAAAAGCCCAGTGGAATTTTTTACTTTCTTTGAATAGCTGACTTGTTTTATTTCTATTTGCTTTCGATATTCTCTTCAATTTGCAAATGTATGAAATACACATAGCCAACATTAGTACCATAGATTCCTCACATCTCTACTCATCTTGTTTTAGTGGATTTTCTTTAAGTGTTGAGCATGTGAAAATGAAGGCCTTGTACAGTAAGGCTGTGAGTACCTTTGCTTTCCACCTTGATTAACAGGGCAGAATGATTACCAGGGCTGTTGATTTTAAACAAAATTTTGCTTGGCTTCTGCTTTATTGTTCTTCAGAAGACAAATCATCTAAAATTAGAAATAGTAAAAAACACACACGAGTGGTTAGCTTAAGCTGGCATAATATATCATTTTTAGGTAAACTGGTTTTAAGCTTATATTCCTAACTCATTTTTATTCCTACTGGATTCTGGCTGTCCCCAATTTGATTAGGATGGAGGTTTGTGTAGTCCAGCATCTTATCTTCAACAGTAGCCAGCCAAGTAAGGAGACTGCCCTTGTTCTATATCTTGAGGGGCTATATTGACACAATATTACAAACCATGGTTTGCTTTTTCTGAACCATGATTTGAACCTGACAGATGATCAAGTGCTTTCTATGTTATCATAGTTTCTCTCCTCTCCAGTCAGGCCTCTTGCTGTTGATAGCCACAGTGTCTAAAATTCAGTTCCAAGGTGCATCGCTCCCTGCCTGTTTCACTTGCCTCTAGAGGCTGTGTGACTGGAGTGTGTCCCACAATTGCCACCCTTTCCAGGACATTCTATGGTAGTTGCATACCATGGCCATGGAAACCACTATCCTGTGTTCAGACCATACCACAAGCCTTGGTGGTATGGAGAACAAATTATTGTTTCTTATCATATCTTCTAAAGACCAAGTTTACCATGATGAAACATCACAACTGGGTTCAGACAACATGACAGACCAACAGTGGTAAAAAACCACTATGGCTTCTGGTGTTGTCTGAACCCAACCAATTTTTGATTTTAGGTGACGTTTCTAGCTTCAGAAATTATTTTTAAAAATGATGAAACTGAGGCTATCCTATTTCAGGTACATCGTGAGATGGCAAGACTCACTGGAGAAGACCATCATGCTAGGGAAATTCAAAGGCAGAAGAAGGGGAAGATCACTATGAGATGGATCTATTCCATCAAGAAAACCACAGCCTTAAGAGCTGAGCAGGGTTGTCAAGGACAGGACATTATGGAGGGCATTCATTCATATAATCATCCTAAGACAGAGACAACTTGACTGCATGTAATAATATCATAGATAATAAGCATTGATAAATGCACCCTCCATGAATCTGCCTAAAAGCTGTTTAAATGACTGGCATGAGCCCCATCTTTTGAAAGTAAATTAAATACATTGGTTCTGTTGTACGAAGTACTTCTTTTTTCTGTCCTGAACCTATGTGTCAATCCATTAGGTCTTCCTGAAATTCTTCAATACTGAGATGGAGGAAAAATCTTTCTCCACATCATTTTGTATTTATGTAACTCTTTTCCATGCTATGCGTGGAAGCTTGACTTGATCTTGCTGGAATTGTATATGGTACCCTGCCAATCATTCAGTTGAGTTGACAACCAGGCAGAACCAGAAATGTCCTGCATAGTGACAAAAGAAAAAGGACCTGAGTTAAGGGCATGCTGAGTCTTCCAGGCTAGCCAACATCAGAATACTATGATTTAGTCCCATGTGAACTAGAATTGTACTTTTTCTCCCTTTCTTGCCTGCAAGTTTCAGTCAACATCCAGTCTTCACACATGAGGAAGGAATCCAGAGGGCTTTCTGTGTGGTTTGTTTTAGTTTGAGAAATAAGTGTGACTTGTCTCTTTTCCTTCTTAGGCCCGAGCTGGAATTATTAGCACTGTAGAGGTTCTAAAAGTCATGGAAGCATTTGTGAATGAGCCCAACTATACTGTGTGGAGCGACCTGAGCTGTAACCTCGGGATTCTCTCAACTCTCTTATCCCACACAGACTTCTATGAGGAGATCCAGGCATTTATCCGTGATATATTTTCGCCCATAGGAGAGAAGCTGGGCTGGGACCCCAAGCCTGGCGAGGGTATGAAGATTCCTCTGTGCTTTATTCTTTCAGTGCTGAATTTTTACCCTGTCACTTTTGCTGTGGGAGAATAAGACCTTTCAGGACATTCAGATATTCAAGAGCCTAACATAAATTAATGTCCAGTTAGTCTTGCTATACAGAGTTATGGAAATTCAAGAAGCAGCAGGGCTGCTTGTCATTCAAGAGCAGCTTGTGTTTAGCGGGAGGGATTCTATCTTGGTTTGGTTTGCTATTTGATGTAGATATGAAAGTTAGAGAAATTGCACCAAAAAAATTTTTTTTTGAAGACTAGTTAAAAGAATGAGAGCCACTGTGGAAGACCAGTGTTGGATTCAGGTCAAATCTTAGCTCAGTTATAGACCTTGATTTGCCACTTACCCATTTCTCACCCTTAAGTTTTTCAACTTTTATAATGAGAATTATAGTGCAATGCAAGAATGGAGAAATGTTAATTGTTAAACGTTCTGTCTTGTTCATATGAAGAGTCAAGCTGTTAGTTTTTCCAGTATGGCACAGGCTACTCCAACTGGTAATGGTTTTCTAGAGCCCCAGACAGAAGATTTTCCAGTTCTGCTGCCTACAATCCTTTCCCTGGAAATGCCACACCCTCTCATCAGGCCTCCAGGCAATTACAGATTTCATGCTGATGCCACAGAAAGTATCTAAGCTCTCTGCAGAGTGTAAACTAAAATACGGATGCCAGTATTTAAGCATTTAAAGTACTTAGAACTGCTGTTATGTTAAGGTGATAGATATGTATTATTAATAATACTGCATTCCCAGTGTTGTACCTATCTGGATTATTGTGAAGTAGAATAAGACTTAAAGATAGAATTAATCAGGAAGTTGTAAAAGCTCTGTCACTGCAGTTTAGGAAAAGGAAGACATTTTGCAACATGTTTCACAAAATCCTGGCTCAGTTCCCTGGAGGGAGAATTGATAAGTTTGGGTCCTTTTCAGTTCAGGCTCTGTGATCTCTCATGTTCAGATGAAATAAGTGCTTCTATCCTTTTTCTAAAATAAATATATGTCCCATTTTTTGTTTTCCATCAGGCCATCTAGATGCGCTTCTGAGGGGTTTAGTATTGGGCAAGCTAGGAAAAGCTGGCCATAAGGCAACATTAGAAGAAGCTCGACGCCGGTTTAAGGACCACGTGGAAGGGAAGCAGATTCTGCCTGCTGATCTGAGAAGTCCTGTAGGTTGCTTTAAAGGACCTGGATTTCCCCCCCACATCCCTTGCCTGTATATAAATCCAGTTTTTCATACATTGTTAAGTAAACCTGTAACTTGCCTGCTTCATGCTGTTTCCTGCTAGTTGTTTATTAGTAAGTTTATTTTAGTAGCATTCCACCATCCCTCCAGTCAAAGCAGTTAATTCTTTCCTTTAAAATGTTAAATTGTGAATACAGAAAATACCCTAATTGCATTGAATGGGGCATGTTCATGTAGCTGCAAAGACTGAAGCTTTTGAGGGTGAAATCTAAAGGTGAGGATTTGTTAGAACAATTAGTAGTTAATATGTTGCTTTCAAGCAGCCTTTAAACTGTTTTAAAACAGTCACACTCTCTTTTCAGGTATATGTAACTGTTTTGAAGCATGGTGACAGTACCACCTTAGACACTATGTTAAAGGTGAGTGTGGTATATATTTCTATGCATGTAATCAAGCAGAGAGAAAATATTCCAGACATAAATGAGCCTGCTGTGCCAATATGTTTCCCATTGGTGATCCAAAGAGGCACAGGTGCTTTTCATATTTACAGTTCTGATAACTTGTGACTTTTGTTTTGTCTCTCCCATGTGACACAACAGCAGCCAGGCCTTAGTAATGCTTACTTTTAAATTCTCTTGGATTTAGTGGGAGAGATGTTTTTTAAAAGTACTTAAACCTATTCCATTGAAATTAATGGGATTTAAAACCACATGTGCTATGTATGTTCATTTATATATAAGGTGGTCAGGGGAATTATTCTTTGGATTTAGTCCTATTAATATTAAAATGTCTAAGACATAAGGTCGACCAATTAAATCAGTGCTGGAATTGAGATTCCCCCTCCTCCCAAAGTGTTGCATTTATTTACACAATGTCTAAAGGAAAAACTTGGCCATTACACATCATTATCTAATGAATATTTTGTTTACTAGTGGTTTGTCTGAAAGATCTGGATTCCCTTCAGGGTAACGTCCTAGAGAAATGCAGCTGAAGGAAACATTCCAGGGTTCTTCCATTCATTGGGATTGTGCTTTTGGCTGTAATGGCTGCTGATTACTTACAGAGCTATCATTAGAGTATTCTCATGTTACCCTTTAATACATTCTGTGGTGAATGATTCCACAGGTTGATTGTGTACTATGAGGATAACTAAGTCTTAAACATTGAAACTGTTGAAATCAGTCATGCTGTGCCCCTCCCTGTCAGTTTTTTCCCAGCTTAAATGCTTTACTTACTTTAAATCAAATATAGCAAACTTCAGTCACTTCAACATTTTTTCATAGCCTGGTAAAGTGACCCCTTATACCATCTGCAGCTATACTAGGTCCTGTAAAGCACATTCTGAATAGCATATATAAAGAACCTGGTTATTGATACACTTCAAAGAAGATAATACAAGAAATGCCCTGAAATGTAGATGAAATGCAAGTGACTAGAAATTACTCCTCTTATATCACTGTGTGAAACTTGGATGCCACCTAGTGGTTCTGTTGCTAGACCAAACCCACAATTACTCGGAAGTGTGGCCTCTGTTTGACCCCCACTAAACTAAGTGGCAAATATTCCTGTGTGGATTACCCATTGGCCATGTTCCCGGTGGCTGAGCAGGTTTGCTAGTATACCACATGTCAGGTTTCTAATTTAACTTCACTGGCTGTAGCTTAGAGGAGAGGATGTCTACTCAAGGAAGGGAAGGATTCTCATGTCATTTGCTATTTTTGGGGGGTTTGTTGCAGCTCCACAAGCAAGCTGATATGCAGGAAGAGAAGAACCGAATAGAGCGGGTGCTTGGCGCAATATCTCAGCCAGAGCTAATACAGAAAGTTCTCACTTTTGCACTTTCAGTGAGTATATGCTGCAACAGCAGGGGGTTGGACCCGATGACCTCCATGCTCCCTTCCAACTCTATTATTCTGTGATTCTATCCGGTGCATATGCAGTTGCACAAGTATGGAGTTTGGCATGTGGTGTCAGTTTCAGCACCCTGAGAACACTGGTTTTCATTATTTTTTTTGAATGTCTAGTCCTAAAGGCAGTAATGCAAGCTTAGAAACATACAGGCACAACTAACAGAAGCAATATAAATAATGTAGAATAAGAACTGAGAAGTGAAGTGGAGGGGGCAGCAGTGGCAAAGCTGCAAGACTTGTACAGATTCAAGACAGGTTCATAACTACTAGCCCCTCTGTCCCTGTATTTTTTAAATAATTGGCCATGTGTTCACCTTTTCATCTAAAACTCAGGAACTAGCAACTTGTTTTACTAAAGAAAATGCATGTGATGGAAAAGCATGCACTAGTTGCTTGCCATTGATTAGCTGCTGGATGTACCTTTCAGCCTCTTGTTTGCATGACCAGCAGTATTTTGGAAGATTTATCAGTGATTGCTGCTATTTTCCTTTGGGGATTCTGAAAGAGATGGCTGAGTGACTTGATAGAGAATCCTCACTCCTCCTGAGTTGGAGCACATTTTTCTGAGTTGTAATGCCTTCTTCAAAATAAATATTCTCAATGCAAGATGGTATGAGATACTTCTAACGTCCCAGGCACAAGGTTAACAGAAAATAGCACTGAAATTATGTCATTATTATAGAAGTAGCATTGTGAGAGTAAGTTGCTGCTGTTAGGATAAAATAGGTGTGAACAATTCTGAGAAGAGCCAGTAGATAGGTAATGCAGGATTAAACTGAATTTACCAACACAATATTGCTACCAAAAACAACCTTCCCATATCTCATTCCCCTTCCTTCTGCTTATAATGGACAGAAATCTGTGTATGATTTCATCATAGTATTTATTTTCTTAAATTGAGGGGGATGAAGAAGCAGAGGAATTCACATAGTGGTGCTGAGAATTTATAAATTTCTATTACTTCATATATCAAAGGGGACAAAAGTTACCATATGTGGCATCAACTGCATGTTTGTTATGACTTGCCAATACTGTTAATGATTAAACTCCATGGAAGAAGTTAGGAGGGTGGTTACTCGGAGGAGGGCTTTCTCAGCGGTGGCGCCTAAGTTATGGAATGCGCTCCCCAGAGAGGT